GTACGTTGTCAGTTTTCAAGTTAATTTTGTTCTTTTTAGCTATAGATAGTTAAGCAGCTGTTAAAAATTTTCCAAGCTATTGGACCCAGAGTAGGACCATGCATGTCTTGTGTAAGTTGCAAAATGTTCAGTGAGGGTTGGTTTTTTTTTTTTGGTCATTTTTAAGAATTTTTAAAAAGGCAAGAATTTTGTTCACTAAGTCTTTTAATAATTTTAATAATTCACTAAGTCTTTTATTTCTTTATATTTATTAACTCTATTTTATTTATTTATTTTTTATTATTTTATTTTAGCTGGACAGACTCCCCCACGTCCACCTCTAGGTCCTCCTGGCCCACCAGGCCCACCAGGCCCTCCACCTCCTGGTCAGGTCCTCCCACCTCCATTAGCTGGACCACCTAATCGTGGTGACCGTCCACCACCACCAGTTCTGTTTCCAGGACAGCCTTTTGGTCAGCCTCCACTTGGGCCACTTCCTCCGGGCCCTCCACCACCAGTTCCAGGCTACGGGCCACCACCAGGTCCACCACCACCTCAGCAGGGTCCACCTCCACCTCCGGGTCCATTTCCCCCTCGTCCTCCTGGCCCTCTTGGGCCACCCCTGACTCTTGCTCCTCCTCCACATCTCCCTGGGCCACCTCCAGGTGCTCCTCCACCTGCACCACATGTGAATCCAGCTTTCTTCCCCCCACCTGCCAATAGTGGCATACCCACTTCAGACAGCCGTGGCCCTCCTCCGACAGATCCATATGGCCGACCTCCACCGTATGACAGAGGTGACTATGGGCCACCTGGAAGGTGAGTGCTTTTGGTGTAATGTGCTTGGTAGCAGATTTTACTCCTCTTCTAGGAAGCATTGGTTTTCCTTTTTAATGCAAATGTTACAGATAATGAAAAATAGGGCTGGAAGGGGTCCCAACAGTCTTCTGATTTGTTCCTTTTCACTTCTCGGTGAAATACGTCTCAGAATCGTGTTTGTAGCAGTAAGAAAATCCTGAAATGCAACTCCAGTGACCTCCCTTTCCCTTTTCAGCTCTGACCTCTTTGTCTTCACTGTTCGTGTTTGGCAACAGTTGGTGTCATCATTCCATGTGTTTTACATGCAGGCTTGCATATCACTTTTTATGCAGCAGCTTCTGTCTTAATGTGAAATTCTGACTTGTACCCTTACCATTGTGCTTTGCAAGCTATATTTTTAGAACGCTCTGGAGTTCTCCTTTTTGAATATGTGCGTATGTTGGGTACAGCGCCATACCAAGCTCATACCATTTTCATCTTTCAGCAGCTCTGCTTGTCCCTTTTTTCTTCAGGACTCAATTCAAAGTTAGTCTTTGTCTCAAAAGCCAGGTGTGAATTTACTGCAAGACTTCTGTCTTCCTTTCCTGTCAAGATGCTTCTGCTCATTTGGTGCAGTCTTGCTGTGTTTGTAACAGTGGCTTTTCCTATGGTTAATCCTATGTCTGGGACAGAGTTTTTGAGTCTGTCTGGCTTGACTTGTCAAGTTTTTTATATCTTACTTGAAACATCTTTCACCTGCGCTTCCAAGCATCTCTATCTTGTTGCTGTTTCTTGATTTTCACCGTATTTGTATTCATCACAGAAAATTGTGGGATAAATTGTAAGAAAGACACTTTTTCCATAGTTACATTTGGATTTTTCAGGTCTGATTTTACTGCTAGCAAGATGCTTCTTTGGCTTAAAATGTTTTCTGCAAAGATACTTTACCTTGATTCTTCTTTTAGCACAAATTTTAAAACCCCATGCATCTGTACATATTATGTTCATGCAGAAACTAGAAATTCAAGCATTTGGCTTAGTTGCCTGATATATAATAAAACAATAAGATGTTGGTTGTTTTTTTTGATGGACAAAATCAAGATTGTCTGCAGTTTATAGAATGTCTGGGGAGGGACGGAGTGGGAATAGGACAGCATAACTTACTGTCCAATATTTTCATTAATAATGTTAAAACTATCATCCATAACTATTTAAATTGTCATTAATTATATACCATAGGCGTTTCACTGGAAATAACATGTCCATAAGAGAAAAATTACATATTCCATTCTATGGGAGGCACACGAAAAATAATACTCAAAACTCAGGGAGGTATGAATTTTTAGACATTTCCTCTTATGCTAAACTGGCTATAGGATCTTGTTCCACTTCTTGCAATTAAGAGGATAGCATTGCTTATTATTCTGCATTTTCTTTCTACCAGAAGAACTAACACTGTTCTAGAAATATCAAGCAGTGGGCCAGTTCAACAGTCTCAACATTTATCTCTTAACACATTTCTCCAAATTTTCTGTGTGGTACAGAGACTGGTTAACATGACACTGCAAAACTTTTGGGAAAATTTTTGTATAGGTTAACTTCTGTTCCTTTGGAAACCTGTATAGGTAGCTAATACAATTAAAGTAAAAAAGTGTAATGAGTATGAGGATTCTGCTTTATTGCTTCCTCCTTACTGTGACCAGTTTGGAGATCAAATTGGAGCACTTTGAACTTGACCAGAAATTTAAAAAAAAAAAAAAAAAAAAAAAAGCTGCAAAATGTCATTCAGAAAATTGAGTGTTTTAAAGTTGATAGCCTGTATTTGCTTTTCATAAGTTATAGCATTCTGGTCTTAGTTAAGATCTGCGAAACAGGATCATATAGTTCTAATTCCAGTATTGTTTATAAAAATTATCTCTAATTTTACCCAAAATTGCATTGCCTATATACATGTATTTCCACATCCATTTGATTGGGATGATATTTACTTACATACCTTCAAGGGTGTTATGAAAATTATAAGTATTTGTAAAGCACAATATTAAGTGCTGCTGAATCTTCAAAATAGATGGGATGAACAAGAATAAGTCTGTTTATACAGCGATGTCTTTTTTTTACCTTTTTTCTTTTTTGTTCCTTTTTTTTATTTTTAGCTTTCAGGATTTTATACTGTAACACGGTCCCTAACAAAAAAACAAAACCAAACCCAGATCGTGCTTTCTTTTCTGTTTGTCACTTTGCTTAAAGTTGCGAACTTGGATTGTTAAAACTGCAATGATTTCTTCTGAAGTTTTTCTTGACCTTTTCAATACTAGTTTTATTGCTTGCAGAGAAATGGATGCTGCAAGGACACCTCTAAGTGAAGCAGAATTTGAAGAAATCATGAATAGAAATAGGGCGATCTCAAGCAGTGCCATTTCGAGAGCTGTATCAGATGCCAGTGCTGGTTAGTAAAACTCGATTAATGTGTTTGCTATTCTACCCAACTGAAAAGAGTTTATAGTTTTTCTATTAGGAAACTGGCAGCCCTGAAGCCACATTTTCCTAATAGGGGGCTGAATTTAGGTACAACCTATGACTGAGTTTGTACTGTGCTCCATTTCTGAGAGTGCATTCTGAGTACTGAGCTGGACAGTAGTTTTAATATTTGGTTCTACAGTAAATTATCTGGATGGCTCTTGATGAGAAGATACTCGAAATGGTAATACTATTACAGATAAAAATCTTTGTTCATTTGCATGATTTTCTGATCATGATCCTGTATAATTTTCAGGGGACTATGGAAGTGCTATAGAGACCTTGGTAACTGCAATTTCCTTAATCAAACAGTCCAAAGTATCTGCGGATGATCGCTGTAAAGTACTTATTAGCTCTCTTCAAGACTGCCTTCATGGAATTGAGTCCAAGTCTTATGGTTCTGGATCCAGGTAAAACTTTCCTCTTCCATCTGCCCTTACTTAAAAAAGGAAAGGTGCAGTGCAGGACTAGTTCACAGAGTAGAAACTGATGTAAGAAACTTAGTGATCTGCTGAGTTGCACAAGAAGTGTGTGAAGGCACCAAATAGGGATTTCACGAAATTGGCTGCCTTTTAATCAGCTCTCTTTTCAAAATTGGTCTGACTAGCTTAAATTTCACTCTTAGTTTTATTTAGTATCCTGTCCTACATGATACTCTTGCAATGTGTAATCTCAAAATAGAATTATCCTATATCAATTAGGATGTACAGTGCATAATTTTTATTGGAATTTCCTATTGAAAATTGAGGATATTTGATACCAGTTTTCATTCTGCTTAAAAGTAATTGTCTTCACGCTTGTCACAGTAGAAATACACTTGAGTTAGGGAAAAAACGTTGGGCAGAATGATTTTTCCTATTGTCCTTTGTCATACAATCTAAAAGTTGTGAGTAGGTAGATTTTAAATTGATGGGCTTTTCTACCTAGTACAAATCTGAGATTGGTATTTCTTTGAAAACTTAAATAACACCCCTTTCAAAGTTAGGACTAAACACTGAGCCTCTGTTTCATTGGCATACTGCAGCAGTAGTGTAGTTGGCCTTAAATATTAAAAATACAAAGACAGCTGGTTTTGGCACATACTTTCAGTATGTAGATTAGCAGCCATGTTGTAGCGATTGCTTGAGGTACAGAGCGTTCCCCCAGCTGATTTCAGCCATCTCATCCTCCATTCTGACGTGTACTTTCTGACTTTCCCTTGGTAAATTAGAAAGTGGATGCACCTCACTATCTGCAGTCGAGTTCTTAGCCACCACCTTTTATACCAGCTGCCTTTTTTGGCTTTCATACCAAAACATCTGCATCACAGTGAACAGCTATTTCTCTCATATCTTTTTTTTTTTATCAAATTCATACTCACGAATAGAATACAAAATTGACATGGGATGGCTTGTATTTTGAAGAAAAATTTAATGAAGTAATTTCTTTTAGAAGACGTGAGCGATCCAGAGAGAGGGACCACAGTAGGTCACGAGAAAAAAGTAGGCGCCACAAATCACGTAGTAGAGATCGTCACGATGACTATTACCGGGAAAGAAGCCGTGAGAGAGAGAGGCATCGTGATCGCGACAGAGATCGCGACAGAGAACGAGACAGAGAGAGGGAATATCGTCATCGTTAAAGAAGGTGAGCATTTGTTTCATGTTCTTGAACTTTTGCTGTTACTGACTTGCTAAAAGCAGCTGCTCTAGGTTTGTGATTTACACCATTAATGCCTGCGTTTAAATGGTCCTGCAGTATGTACTGAATCACTTTCTTCTTGCAGCACTTTCTATCTGACACGCACGTAGGTAAGTAATGACAGGTAACTGGTCTTGGGAGGGCGGGAGTGTTTGTGTGATTATCTTCTGCAGTTTGCATGCTGCCTTTTTAATTTTAGGTGGTATTAATGTTTGCAGTTTTTATGAAATGTGATTAAACAAATTCTTAAAAAAGCAGTAAGCCAGACTGGTAAGTCTGCTCACTTTGTAATCTTAGAAGATTATATGAAATTTAGAGTTATATTTCTTATTTGTATTTTAAAATACTAATTTTCTATTTAAAAATCTACTTGTGTAAGGACTGCAGCACTTAGCCCTTCATATGTCATGTGTGGATTATTTCAGTTTAGGGAACGCATGTACATACAGTTGCTGTCCTCGTGCAGGTATGGCAGTGGGGTTTTGTTGATGTTGTGGGGTTGTTTGGGGTTTTTTGGGGTTTGTTTTTTTTTTTGTTTTTTTTTTTTAGTTTGGGGGCTTTTTTTTGTTTTTCTTTCCCCAGTGAGTTTTACTCAAATTCAGGAAATATCATCAGACTTTACTCTTTAGTTTATGAAACATGACCTGTCAGTATTTTCTGCCTTCTAGCTAAATTCAGGTGTTATTTTCAATAAGATTTACGGTCAGTTGTTCCCCACCACCCTGATTTTTTCATTCCCCCTCCCACTGCTGATAGTAAAGTCATTTTCTGAAGATTAGTAAACAAATATATGTCACAAGGATTGTTCCTTTTCTGGTTGTTCACAAACTAATGTGTTCTTTTATTTCATATATCCGCAGTCTTGCATGCATCAAATGTCTAGATAGCTACAGGGTAGCATGCTAAATAGTGCTTTTTCCAGTGTACTGCTGAGAGCTTTAAAATACATAGAAATGTTAATCACATTATAATAGCCTACCATTTTGAGGATTCAAACTACCTATGATTCATTATGTTTGACAATTGGAAAAAGCCCTACCTATTAGTTTCTCTGCAGTGGTCTTTTCCCTTTTTAGAAGAACTTCCCACTACATCTGCACTAAAATGGAAACTTGCAGACTTGCCTGTCTGCCCAACTTCCATTCTTACATTTACCTTCAGACTTAGTTTCCAGATTTGCATTCATGGAAGTTCATTTACTGAACTTAAATAGATAAGAACTTTTTAGAAATCATATGAAATGTAGTATACTCCTAAGTGAAAACAGAATTTTGTATTAGTTAAATTTCAGTTTTTCAGTTAGGCTTTTGTGTTAGTAACTCCTTTGTGAGAGAACAAATTCTGATACTAAATGCTCTAGTCTATTTATTAAATATTAAGTGGGATGTTGTCTTGGATTGATATACTAACAGGGGACACACAAAGTAGTAGAGAAGGGGAGTCAAAGGCTTAAATGGGAAGGTGAAACATGGCATCTGAAATAAAGTTGGCAGTATGTATTTGCTAATGCCACTTTTTGCCATAAAAAAATGTATTGGTAGAAATATTACTGGAATTGCACAAAAATAGCAACTGTAGTTCTTAATTGCAAAATATCAGAACATTAAAATGCAGATTTAACAAAAGTAAATGTAGTTTCTTTTGTTGAACTGAATTTTTACCCTTTATTTTAAATGAATATTTGTGATATTTGCAAATAGTTTTTATTGATAGGAGGTAACCCTTGAACTGAGTGATGGATGCATTTCCAGAGTGTTTTCCTTCTGGTGGAGATAAGCAAGCCATACTAAAAAATGTTAATAACCTGGAATTTTAAGTTGGGGGTTTTTAGGGTTGGTTTGTTTATTTAATTAATTATTTATTTTACCTTTTGCACATTTTATTAGTCTAGCTCTAATTTTTATGTATTTAGTGTTGTGCATCTAGGTATGGAGATTCTGTGTCAAGTACAGATTCCCTACCCTGTCACTCCAAGAAAACATATCAAGTAGCATTGGGTTGCATTTTATAATTTCCAAAGCACAATTTTAAAATGAGACGGTGGTTTCAGTCTCAGTTCAGGTGGGATTTATACATGGAACATCCTTCAACTTTGTTGTGTGCTGGGACTTCTCTTTTCTTTCAGAGGGGTTTGCGTAGGTGAGATGTGCAAAGAAGAAAATAGATCCTAAGAACTTGATTTAAAGGGCAAATTTAGTATTCTGCATGTAAATGAAAGTGTTTGGTATTTTTTCAAAGTTAAGTTGTAAACATTTTTTTCTTGTTGCTGTCTTGATGAAAGGCTTTATTGTAGTTTTGGTTTTATATATTTATACACACACCCATATAAAAGAAATACAGTTATCTCCTGGTTTGTATGTTTCATTTTCACTAAGATGTATGTTGCCATACATTTTTTGTTTTGTTCTTAACATTGATTAATACTCATAGACGGATTTAACAGTCTCAGTCATTTAATAAATATCAGCAGTGCTGAAAAGAGTTACTCCCCATATCATTGTGTTTTGCCAGTAACCTATACTTCTTATTGTGTACCTATACTCAAAAAGAGTTACTCCCCATATCATTGTGTTTTGCCAGATAACATGAGGCCTCTGTGCCTGCACCCTGTGAATGGCACCTATACTTCTTATTGTGTACCTATACTCATAACTGTGATACTGTACTGGCTTTTTTTAAAAAAGTGTGACACATCTAGTTTAGAAGGATTTTAAAGGTCCGTTGTGAACGTTTTTGTATACAGTGAAATTCAGTTTGTACTGTATTACATTTACAGAGATGGATTAAATTGGAATGATTTACTAAATGTGTTTATAATAATAAAATTCTATTTAAAAGTTTAGATGTACCATAGCAGGTGTTTACACTTCTGTTTGTACACTTCGTGATTTAAGAATTAAATTCTTGCAAGATTTTTGTGCCTTCGCTTGAGTAAGGCTTGATGTACACTGACAATCCATTCTGCAGAATTACTGTAAACTGAATGTTTCCTTGAAACATCTTGCCTTTGCTTGTAGAAAGCCTACAGATATAAATGAGAACAATGGATTTGAGAGAGATGTCTAACCTGGATTAGTCAAGAAAATTAAGAATCTAATAGAATGGTATTTATAGAAGGATTAACAGCAAAATTATTGTGTACAAACAGAATAGTAATGTAACTTCATCAGCATGAGTCCTTACTCTTTTTTTTTTTTTTTTTTAGGCAGATTTTTTTTTTTTTTCTAGTTTAACTGGTACTCAATGATGTATTTCTAGCTGATACATTGTCCCAATCTTAATCTGTCTGAATTTCTATAACTGCTGAATGTAAAATTTTTCATTTTATGTTTTTGTTATTGACTTGATTATTTCCTATTTAAACTGGTTTTGGACTGAATTGCAAAGACAAAACCACAACATTGTAACAGTTGATATGTATGTAGACCTTGTACTCCATATTTTGTTATTATTTTTTTTTCTGATTTTTTTTTTTGCTCTCAAACCACTGTAAGCAAAATAATTTAAAGTTTGAGGCTCATATGCTTCTTGAAAAACTGCTCTCAGCGCTCTCTGACATAGCTTCAGCTTTGGAGTGGTCTTAGAACTAACATGACTGGAATTTTTTTGTGTCAGTATGAGGGGAAATGCTACTGATTAAGTAATACTTACATATTTTTGCCTGTATAAGTAGGAGCTGTCCTATAACAGTGTGTTAGCAACCACTTAAATATCGAGTGAAGTATGAAATTAACATTTAAAAAAATCTTGTAAATTAATAGGAAAATGCCTATTTTTGTAAGTTATTTTAATAATAAGCTTCTAGTTAATAACAGAATTTTAAGTGAATTATGTGGTAGCATTGTTCAAGACCTAGGTATATGTATCTGTCTAAAATTATTTTGGATCTTCTTAGTATTAAGCTATTATGAACAGTATTTACCTAATATCTTTTTTTTTTACTGTGTATTTTTGGGGAAGCACATATGTGGGGCTGGCAGTAGTCTATGGATTCTAGTGTTCATCAGAGAAATTATGCTTTGGGCATCTGATTCAGTATTTGAAATCCATCATAGAGTGAAAGAGGCAAGCAGTGCCACTGTTTTATGTGCTTCTTAAAGTCCATTTTATGGCTACTTTTGTGCTTTACAGAAACATATAGTTTGATTCTTAATGTTCAGTGATTTCTGTCATTTTCTTGAGGGTGATGATTTGAAAAACTAACTGAAATTCTTATACTATTGTTTGTTTTCAAATGCATAACTGCATAACTTTTATTAATTTTTTCCATGAGCATGTTGCTGTAATTTTGTTTTCTGAGGTGTCTTTAGACGCACCTACATTTTTGTGTTCCCCACATCCTGTGGGGTTTTTTGTTCATGAAATCAGAAATTGTGACCGATTTGAGCTGCGTGAAAGTTCCCCGAGAAACTTTAAGGCTTTATAGCATTAGAAACATAATGTTACTTGCAAGTGAAAATACTGGCTTGATGCAGCTTTCTCCAAGGAAAGAACAAATTCAGTTTTTTCCTTTTGCTCATTGTGGTTTGAGAACTAAGATTTCTTGTTACCAAGAAAAAAAAAAAAAAGAAGAGAGAGAAATGAGAGAGATATCTTCATTTTTATGTTTTCCTGTGGCAGCCTGAATTACCTTTTTGTGTCTTCCTCATATATTAATGTGAAAGATACTTGCCAATAATTAACATCTTTTTAATTTGTAAAGATTGCATTTTCTGAACGTACCTCTCTGTTAATCAGTTATTTTTGGTGAATAGACAGGCTGGGATAGTAGGAGAAAGACACATGATGAATGAATGCTAGTTCGGGAGCGTTCTTCCTGTGTAAAATTATTCATAAAATCAGGAAATTGTTCTGTTGTTGATCTTAAATTATACACTGAGATTAAACAGAGATACCAGGTAAGTACACTTAATAACAGGGAGAAAAAAATATGCAACAAATAGAAGATGCTAGTGGTGGTAAAACAGTCTGTTTGTACGTGTATGATAAATAGAATCACGTATGTATCTCAGCTTACATGCAGAAAGACACATCTAGAGTCAAGCTTGAGATTTCTTCTTTCTCACTGTGTTATAGCTGAAGCATTGCAGTATTTGGAGGTTTGTGATGTTCTGGAATGTAGGTTAAGTTAAAACAAATTTCGGCTTTCAAGCTGGTACTTTCTGCGGGGTTTTTGCTTTATGTATTTTTCTTTTCTTTATGTAAAGAATAAAATAAAGGAGAATTACATTAAGTAATTCTTAGGAGCTACAGGGTATGATGACAAATGTGTATCATGCATTTTACTGAAATGTAAACATCTTAGGAGACTGAAATTGAATCTCTGAAAATACCAGAAATTACACTACTATAGCAAAACTTGGTGGGTGTTTGCATGTACAACTTCAAACTACTGTAAAATTTTCGCACTTCTAAAAGCTGTTTAAAGCTTTTATATTCTTATTTGGATAATTGGAATTAAGGGGAAAAAAATTAGAGTTACTACTGCAAGATGCTTTGTATATATAAGAAGTCTATTGGATTTTGTTGTAAGAGTGTCTTTGTGGGGAAAAAAATGCTCGAGTTGCATCTTGCGTAAATAGAAAAATGTTTGATCACTTAAATCTGGGATTTCATTTGTGAAATGTTCTGGCATAAACCCCTAATTTTTAAACCACAAAATAACTATTTAACAGATAAGTCTGAAAGATAAATCTGAAATTTGGGTTTTATTAGAAGAAATGCTGAGAAACTGATTGCTGTATGGTGTTAAATTGTACAAACCTAACGCATGCTTGGGACAAATAGCTTGTATGAGCTTGAGGCAGATAAAAAAACAGCATTGCCAAGGAGTACTGACTAGTGATTTAATTTATTTTTTTTTTTAAAGTAGTTTCTTACTTCAATATTCTACTTGCTTGTAGAATACTGAAAAGGGCTGAGCATGAAGGTATAATCCATACAGGTTTATTTCTTCCTTTTGGAACCACAGAGGTTTCCAGTTTTGCCAAGATACAGTGGCAGAATACTTGGAGCCAAAATGTGCACCACTTTGGATTTTAGTTGGTCATGTTTTTCAAAATGAAGGTTCAGTGTGGTGTTGACCATCCTAAGAGCCCTATAATGAAAAGTTTTATTAATCCTGAGTCCAGTTTATCGTGCATTCTTTAAAGTTCCTGTAATTCCATAAGTACCCTTACAAATCTAGCAAATTATTCCCAGGAACTGAAGCTTTCTTATGCTAGTATTATAAATCATATATGTGGTGCTTTGGATCTGTTAACTGTCGCCCTAGAAGTGATAAAGATCCATAATTCTTGCCGCAGCAATTGTATGATGAGAGCAGCAAATTCTGACTCGCAGTCTCACAGCTGTCATATACTTTCTTTCTCCACTAAAAACCAGCGATTGTCCCCTGTCTGCTTGTGCTGTCTTACCTCGCAACTCTAAACACATCTTCTCGTGGAGGCAGCACTTTGTCACTTTGATACTAATTAATTTTAAAGTACATAACACCTATGGAAATTTTGGTCTCTGGGGAAAGAACTTCCCCAAAAGTTGTTACTGGTTGAAACATTCATGACTTGGGAACAAAGTCTGCGAGTAAGAACAGAAATTCAAGTGACTGCTTTGGATTTGGATTAGTTTATGTGCATGCTGTAGTGTATAGAGCCTACTTGGTCAAACTTTTTTATTTTAAAAGTTATTAATAAGAGTCACTTTGAGAAAAGGAAGGAGAAATGTGTCAGTTGTTCATGCAAAAATTTAGTACTTTGTTTTCCCAACTGCTTTGAACTTATTGTACTAGTAGAAGAATATTTGACAGCTGTGTACTGGTGCATGTTCACGAAATTGCTCCTCTAAATTTCTTGTTTTTCAAATGAACAATTTAATGTGTTGCTGTTTTGAACAATTTGATTTAAACTATTTTGAAATTATTGAATGTTGAAATTGTGAATTATTAATGAAATTAAGATAGCTAAGTGTTTTGTAATGGAATTCACTTGAAATCCAGTGTATGGAATTATACCATCCCAAGTATTTTGTGAACTCTTACAGTAACTACCTCTGAATGCTGTGGTTCCTTAGTTTGCCAAAATAGATGAGAACAGGAAGTAGGGCTTGAGGTTTTTTTCTAGGGCAAGTAGGTGAAGAAACCTGCAAATCTATATTGTATTATTTGAAAAGTGAGGTTTTGTGATTAAACTGCAAGTGTGTATTTTTAGATGTGAAGCCTGTCCTGCTTGCCACTAATCTGAAAATGCTGATTTACTGGTATCAGATTCTGTGCACTTTTAAATGTTACTGAGCTGTGAGCCATCCACTTCATTATGCAATCAGTGCATTACTTAAATGTCAAGCCAGCTTAAAACTTCTGTAAGTGGGCAGGTAAAAATGTAAAAACCTAGTTGTGGCAAAATTACCTTACCTGCTTGTTTGTTTACTCTCGCAGACTGCATACTTTAGGAAACGTTCTATATAAATGTTCCCATCAGTCACAGGAACAGTAGCTATTTCTTCCTTTTATCATTTGATAATTCAACTGTGAAATTTATATTCTTTCAACTTTGTTGTACAACAACATTGTTTTTGACTGTTGTATTAGAAATCAATTTCATGTGCAGACAAGTAGCTACTGCTTCTGGGTATTTTGTGTTAGTTTACATTATGGTGAAGTAGATGCACGACTCGTGTATGTATAGATAAGCCAAGAATTTTCTGTGTATTATGGGGACTAGCAAAACCTACATCACAAATTTTGACACATTACAGCTGAAGGAAGAGGAACAGCGTGCAAGACAAGATACGTTCTTCAAGGAAAGATGCTTGTCCAGCAGTTTGCTTCATGTGATTGAACTGAGCCTGTAAGGATTCATGGATAAAATGAACAGGAATAGATCTGAATAAAGCAAATCTGCATACATGGTAACCAGTAGCTCTTTTACTTTTTTATGTTGCTTAACTGTTTTATTTGAGGGAAACCTGTGTGATTTAAACCTTATAGCTTTTGCAACTTTATTACTGGTTATATACATTTGGCAATTATAATGTGCAAGCAATTGGAAAAGTAAATGCTTGTTTTTATAGTAGTTTGTTCATGTTAAACTGTTCATATGATAATGTCTGTACACAGCACCACTGATTACAGTAGATGTAGTGTTGTAATAAACTGTTTAATGGGGCTGATGTGTAAAGCTGTTCAAGTTATTTGATGTTTACACCTCAGGGAAAGTCTTGTGTTCAGCAATATTTAAAGATAATGTTACAATGAAAACATTGATGCTGTCTTTAAAAACATCGCAATAGGTCTTGCATATGCCTCAACCTAATCTTGCATTCAGTGAGTTAAACATACTAATGTTGTTCTCACACATTCAATTTTGATATGAAAATAGGTGGTTACATAAAACCTTTAATGCTGTTTTGCTTTCTAGCAGTGTTTACCTAGGTGACTTGTGAATTTGCTAATTGACATATAGAACTGTAAAAACTGCAGCTCTTTGGTCTGTTGTTCTGAGGCGAGATGGTCCCAGGTCTGTGATTTTAGCATGCTGAAAATTATCTCTCATTCAGCCTTGATCCTGATTGCCGCTACAGTTAATATAAACTGAAACTGTTCAAATGAACTTAAACTGTCCATAGTAAGGGGTGGAAAGGTCACGTTTAAAAAAATAACAAAACAAAACCCTGCAGTTGTTTACAGTTTTATAATAATAGTGCTTGTGTGTGTTTCCTCTCCACCCCAAGGCTGTAGCAGTCTGTACATAGTTGTATATTAGAAATATGCCAGAAGAATCCAGATGTTTCAGTTTTTCAGACATTATGGGTTTGGTGTTTTCTTTGGGGTTTATTCACACATGCATATAAAAGAGAAGGTACACTTGGATGTCCTTGATCAGTGATGGGCCATATTTAAATGTCTTAGCAAAAAGTGGCGCTAATTACATCCGTCAGATGAGGTTTTGTAAATTTACCTAAAAACAAATTATTGGAGCTCACAGTGAAAGCTGACTTCAAATTTAAGAACTTGTTTTAAATTCCATTGTGTGAAATGACAGTGAATAGGAAGTTCATTTAAGTTGCAAAAACTTAGTTTCTGGCAGCCTTGCACAAAGGCTTACTTTTAGTCTATTGTAAATTGTTATGTAACCGATTTATTCTTGGAGTTTTCACTTACTCAGATAGCTGCACTTAATGTTTTAAGTTAAGTTTCAAGACCTCAGATGGCTTCAAGAGGCAACTCTTAGACAACTCTTGATTTCCTTTTTTACTGATTTTTGAAGATTTTTACAGCCAACCTAAAATGTTACCCTGTTCAGGAAAGCACTTAAATCCATTTGGTTTTCCAGAGCATTTAAAGCACATGCTTACATTCCATAGATTTCGAGGAAGGTAAACATATGCTTTAAGTACCTTATTTGCATACGTGAGTGATTTTTATGCTTTACTGAGTTGGGACCAGTAGCCTGTGCAACTGTGAAACTTTTGCATAAGTCTGAAATGCTCTTAATATTTTTGTCACCTGCCACTCAGCCAGGTTTCCTGGAGCCAGGTTGATGCTCTTGAACTTGGCTACAGCTTCAGACTCTTCCCCCCCCCCCCCTTTTTTTTTTCCTTAAATTGTGTACCTCAGTTTCTCATGCATGGGATCACTGGTGTTTCTTGAACCATTTGCTACTGAGAAGATTTTTGACATGTTTGTTTAATCCTGTTTGAAAATGAAAATTGCCTTTTAAAATTTTGTAAAATTGAAAGTTGTATCAAACAAGTCATGATTAATTTCCTGCTTTTTGTGAATAGGTGTTGGTTACAAACAGTACTGTTGTAATTTTTTTTCTTTACTTAAAAACATTGTTTACTGCTGTGTGTAATAAGTTTAAGGAAGAAATAACCTGCCTGTAGCTGTTACATGGGGAATAGCTAATACTGGAGAGGCAGCAGGTAAGTAATGTTCCATTGCATAGATATATTAAATCTTAAAATAAAAAAGTAAATTTACAAGCATTTTAAGCAGGAACTGATATTTTACTCCACATTGAAATAGATTTAAGGAGACTGTTGCTTTTCTTACACAATGTAGTTTCTCACTCATACAGATTTCCATTGCTGGCAATGGAAATAGCAGGGAGGGAATAGCAGGGGTAATGTAACGTAAGTTGAACTGAGCGGTCGTTGTGACTTGAGAGGTGAGGTCCCCATATGAAGCCCCTTATTTCTGCCTGTTGTCCAAATACTTAGTTTTAAATGATAAATGTACTGTGTTGCAATTTAGATAATACTCTCTTGTTATTGTGAATTTCATTTGTTAGGTTTTTTTTTTTTTAATGAAACAAGAAAATGTACAGAAAAAAATCCAAAGACCCTGATAGACACCAAAAAGGAATGTCTAATGCACATCATGTATAACTGGATCTGTAGTAGAATTTTTACCAGGTTTTGGTTTATTAAACGTTACTGGCAATTTCCTGTGCACGCTTAGGAAATAGCAGTTTGCTAACTTACTGACTGGTGATGATGCCATGATGGCTACTGCTGTGCTCTTTGATATTCATCCAATTGTATTTCATATCCTTTTGCTGATGAAAATACAAAATAGTCTGTGAGGAAATACTTTATTTCTTTCAAATATTGATTTTATAAGTAATGTTGAAAATATCTTAAGGCTGTGTCCTTTTATTCTGAAAGACAAAACCAACAAGTAGTGACTTAGGGGTGGTGGTATTTTAGCAACAGAAGTTGTTTTACTGGAGGTTTGTTTTTTAGAAGTAGAGGGAGTTTTTTTAAAGTAAAATTTCTACTGGACTATATGTTTTGACAGATCGAAAATACTTCTTCAGAAGAAGAACATAGCATTTTGGAAACTGTACAGTCCTTTTTTCCTCATTCCCTTTTTTCTTTCTGTGCCAATATTTTTAGTTCTGATTGCATTTTGAAAAATGTTTGTCAGAACTTCTTAAAATTTTTATTTACAGTGTGACTTATAAGGTTGGATAGCTGTTGGTTTTGTGTTAAACAAGAGACCTTACTAAATTTAGGCATTAGCTTGACTTTTTTTTTTTTTTTTTTTAAGGAGTACTTCCTGGTTTTGTTCCTTTGAAGTTGGTGAGGCTTAGTTTGTCTAACTGTATTTTTTTACCTGATTGTTTAGTGGCATACCCAAACCCTTGTAAATGTTTTCCTAGTTGTATGTGGATAATCAGAGATTTAAATGTTGTATATACTCGTCATCTGTGTTTCTAGTAAAAATACATGGCATTGTTTATAGAAATACTTAATTCCTGATTTCCTTTTCTTATCCACTTGCTCACTGTACAGGTTAAACAGACTTTGCTCCTATTTTTATTTATAGAATTTTATACAGAGCCTCTTAAAGTTATAACTGGTTCTTGTGTAAACTGAGATACAGCCTTAAATTTCCTGACAATAATGCTCATTGTGATGCTGTTAGTCATGTAGATTCAAATACAAAACATGCATGTTTAAGACTGGTACTCTCAGAGATCCAAGACACTAAATTGCTTCTGCATTGAAATATATAAACCCTTCAAGATCTTAGAGCAGGAAAGAACAAGTCAGTGTGCATATACTTAAATAAAATTGATTTATTTCCAAAATAAGTATTTTGATGTAGGAAAGAAACAACATGGATTTGAGTGGGATTTAAATTATTTTGGTAATTAACTCCACAGGTCTTAAACATAATGGTTGCAGCATGCTAATTAGTCATGATGTTTATGCAGAAATGCTGTCTCTTGCAACTGTTTGCTGTGATGCCTTGCAATTAATATTGCAGACAGGCTTGAGGTGGGTGGGAGTGTTAAGGTGGTTTTTTGTTTTTGTTGTTCCCCCTCCAAAATTAAGATCTGATGGGATATGTACTTTTAGATGCATTTTAGCTTTAAAGGGTGAATTACTAAGGAACAGTTTGGAGCATAAGAAGTTCCTCAATTTGATGTTCTTGTGGGATTTCCCCCCCCCCCCATGTTGGACAAAATATGATAAAGCATCTTGTTCTGTTTGTATGTTTTGCACTTGTTAGTTCTTGAACCCTTTCTCTAGCTCCAGTTATTGCAGTGGGTTCTGGGTTCCAGTATGATCTATGCCTGTGCTTAAATCTTTTTAAACGTCTTTAAAAATACACTAGTTTTACTGAAGTCTCTTGACAATAGTAAACAGTGTACCTTTGATCCCAGTGAAATGGAGCATTTAAGTTGTGAAAATTCCCATCTATTCATACCATGTAATGTGATTTTTACATGATTCAGTGCTAACATTTTGAAGTTTATTCAAGTAATAGACTTTGGCCTCACCCTCTTGTATACTGTATTTTGTAATAGAAAATATTTTAAACTGTGCATATTATTATTACTACATTATGAAACAGACATTACCTTGATCTTCAAATGTAAGAAAATGAGGAATGTGTGTGCTTTTATAAATACAAATGATTGCAAATTCAGTTTCCTTACTACTGCAGGTGTCCTTTTTTAAAATAAAAAAAGAAAGGAAAAAAAAAAAAAGCCAAGTGTTTTAAAGGTGAAATACATTCCTATTTGGTAAACCTTAACATTTTTATGACTATTACCAGCATTGCTGACTTTCTAAACAAAAGGCTGTTTAGTCTTCCTGTACCATTCCATTTCCTGATTCCCATTTTGCACATTCAAGAAATGGTTTTGAAATACAGGAGGGCAGCTTATCTAAGTTGGAATGCAGAATTGCAATGCAAAATGTAAGGAAATGGATGCTTGTCAGAATGCCTGACTCCAAAGGATTTTATATATATATATAGTAAACAGTTTCCTGATCACGGCAGGCCAAAGAGTCTGTTGAATACTTGAGTTTCTGGAGACATTTATTTCTCAACAAGGTAAGATGGTATCCTAGCAAATGTGGTTTTTAATACATTTTCAGCAGAGGTACTTAGTTAATCTATAAATTTAGGGATAATTTCATCTTTTTTAGATGTTATACTTGAAATATTACATAACTTTTAGCTTTCATTAGTTTCTTTTTTTCAGCCTTTAGGAGACTGTTAAGCGATTCGCTGTCCAACTTTTGTGTTGGTCTTAAACTGCAATAGTAGTTTACCTTGTATTGAAGAAATAAAGACCATTTTTATATTAAAAATACTTTTGTCTGTTTTCATTTCAACTTGTCTTGTATCTTTGCAGTGCTCGTT